CCCCAAAACCCCAAAACCCCAAAACCCCAAAACCCCGGCTGGAAGGGCTAATGTTGAAATTTTATTTGGGATTTTGAGGGGGATAGAGAGGATTTGGCTTAGAGGAAGGGAGAGTGATTAGATTTTAGGTGTTTTTGAGTGGGATTTGGGGATTTATGATGCTGAGGGGGTTTCTATGGTCTCTGAATTTACTTCTGTGTCGTAGAGTCTTTGGTTTTCGGCTTCTGGAGGCTTGTGAAAGTGGCCTTTAGAGCTCTTTGGAGGGAATAGTAATAATTTCTCTAGTTGGAGAATAGGAGACTCTATTATTAAGGCAGCTGGTATTGATAATAGAAATGATAGTATCAGCGCAGCAAACCAATAGTAAATGGCTACCCTCTTTGTGATATATAAAGCTTGTCTAGTTTGAGTATAGTACCAGGTTAGTACTATGTCGTGTACAAGGTATACCATGAAGGTTATCTTTGCCCATGGAGCCCAGGCTGATCCTCCCAAAATAAATCTTACAAACTTGCTTCCTCCAACCATCGGACCAGACAAGAAAAGTGCAAGACCAATAACGAATATTGGTCGATGGAGAGCATTGAAAAAGTTTGATGCCATCTGAGGCCAAATAATCTTATCAAGAACTCTTGTTTCTGTATAGGTGATCATGACGAGGAACAAAATAATACCAGCCCCAAGGAAATGTAAGAAGATTCTCAAAATCCGACTAGATTCTATCGATCCGTATAAAAAGGCTCCTGGAGATCTTTGGTAATTAGGATTGGTCTTTGATTGCTTCCATTCGTAATAGAACATTCCAAAAAGACATCCAACGAAGTATGCCCCAAATCTTGAGTACGGCATGTGATAGATCTCTCTGTTATTTGTGTCTTTAACTTTTGCCATTGAATGATGGTTCTTTTCCGATAAGGTGAAAACAGTAATAATATTTGCTAAAATCAATAGCCCGGTCATGGAGTATCCAGCTAATTTATTTCTGCAATAAAGGAGTATGACGAAAGGTAGAATCATGAAGAACATCATATCATTGGCTATATACCAAAGAATGCTTAATCACGGAATTTCAGGCGGAGAAGGATGGAAATTATTTGAAAATGTCAGAATCGTCCACCAATACTTATTTACAAGGCTGTACGACAACTAGGTCGGTAAAGTACCATAGAGGTCCAGATCCCATGAAGTTAAGGAATGTTATCAAAAATGCAAGGAAAACAGCAAGAGTTGGCACTAGTCTGATGAACCTGTGAACATAGATCATGACAAATGTGAAGATCTTTCCTCCCTGAAGTTTGGGAATCATCAGATATGCCCCAAGAAAAGCTGAGAGGAAGAAAAATGTATCCACTGAGTAAAAAGCTCCCATTACAAAAATTCCATACCAACTTGTTAAAAGCTCAGGTAGAGATTGTGTGTTGATTACAGGGAGAGATTCAAAAGCTTCATGAATATGTCCAAAAACAATATAAGCTATACTTATGACTCTCAGCCCATTGAGCACACTCAGGTAGTCATCACTCCTCTGTGGAGTCCAAAACATTTTCCTCAGGTTCCTTGAAAATGAGAAAGATAGGAAGAATTTGCCGAGGGTGTTCTTAGAGTCGACGAGAGCTTTGTCTTGCTTGGAGTCTTCAATACCTTCATAGTCGACTCTTCCGAAAAGATTAGAATATTCAACTATAATTCCAAGAAGTCAGATTGCTATTAATAATCAGAATGCAAAGAAGCCTATCCAGTTTATTGCCTGAACAGTTGGTGGTTCTGAATCCGGAAACACTATCAGAGCAGATGCGGGGATCCCTTGTGATATAATTAGTTTTGAAAGTGCGTCTTGGATAATCTGAGTATTCTTGCTGTTACATGATAAAGGTAAGCATACTCCGATATAAAGCGGGTATGGAAACGCTTGAATAGTAACATAGGTAAGCTCCTTTGCTTTAAAGGCAGTTCCAGGATTATTAATACAAAAATCATATTCTCCAAGATCATTTATTCCTTTTCCTGTGCTTATAGCCATAGTTAGAAGATTTCCTTGATTCCCACTCGTAATACTCCCAAATATTGAATCCATTCAGCTCTGGTCTTGGGCAAATGTTCTGCTAAGCATCACTATTAAGGCTAAAAGAGCAAAATGGTATCTTGAACCATCTAAACATTTTCCTGATAATCTCATATTTGGGTGCAAAAATAAATTCAATTATATCTTTCTTGTATGGGGTTTTGGGGTTTTGGGGTTTTGGGGTTTTGGGG